CGAGCAGCAGCTCTCGCCCGGTCAAGCTGTGGGCTGCCTAGGGGCTCCCTCTCCCCGTGGCTTTGTCTGCGCCGCGAGTCTGTGTGCGTCTCTGCCTCACGGAGGGAGTTCGGGTCAATCGGCCCCAACGGACGTCTACTCATCATGCAATTGCCATGCCATGCAGGCCGCTGTGGCTGTGTCCGCTCTGCGCTGTTGGTGTGTCGCTGTGCCCGCTGAGCGCGTGTTGTCTGCTGTGCGTGTGTGTTCAGTCTGCTCGCTGAGCGCGTGTTGTCTGCTGTTGCTGTTTGCTGCTCTGCTGTGTAAAAAAAAAAAGTGCGCCCTGTAGTCACAAATCAAGTCCTGTACTCTAAAACCTAGTTTAAGCGAACACAACACACGCACGCACTTTTTTTCCTGCATCGGCCCCTATATTGCGCTGAGCCCTCTCAGGCAAGATTAGAAATCTCGCTTCGCTCGAATAAATAGCAAGAAAATCTAAAACAAAAGGAAAAGAAATAAAATACTCCGGTAAGGTCAACCGACAATCCAACTCACGGGCATACAAGATCAGAGCGACCGAGAATGGCGACAAAACCATCAAACCTATCACACCTGACTCTTGCCCAGGCCAGGGTCCCCGACGACGAGAACATGCGGATCGCACCGTGTGGCTACTTCGCTGTTCCTGCTCGTGCCCCCGAACAGCCCGAGTATCAGCCCAGCCTTTACGTAGGGCAAGAATCCCCGACAAAAGGAGAAAGTCAAGGTGGAGGAAATCAGAAGAGCGGCTGGTGCTGCAAAGCACTGCCTACCGCCACCACTGGCTCTAGCACTGGCTCTACCACTGGCTCTAGCGATGATTCTTGGATGATTTCACACAAAGAGGGTAGCCAAGTGGTGTGAGCTTTGAGCTGCTGAAACGTGGGCCTGGCTCTTTCAACGCCCTACAGGCACTGCAGCTGGTCGACGCCTAAAGCTTCTGTTTCGCGGAATGATTTGATGTATGAAATGGAATGACCATATCTTTGGCAGAACAAGTCAACTTTGTTAAGTGAACTGACGGCCCCACTCATAACCTCGGAATTAATGGAGCACTTGGCGGAATGAATCGGACCCGTCAAGCGACGATCCCACTATTAGCCTTGGAATGAAAGGGACGTTTGGCGGAATGATTCAGAATTTGTCAAGTGAACTGACGGCCCCACTCATACCCTTGGAGTGAACGGAACGTTCGGCGGAATGAATCGGATCCTAAAGCGACGATCCCAACTATAACCTTGGAGTGAACGGAACGTATCCCGGAATGAGTCGATCTGATTCATTGAAATAAACGAGTGCCATTCCGCTAGATGAAATGACTGAATGTGATCTAGCGGAATGGCAGTGTGCCTATGTGCTATCCGTGCTTCGCCAGCCCGTGATTTCGATGGTCTCAAGCCTACGATACACTATTGCAGGACATGGCACCAAGAAGAACGACACCACCACAATAACATGATACCTTTCTTCAAAAAACATTTCTCTCGGTGTGGAATCTAGCCACCACCGTCGTATACGATAAGGAGTCTCCGACCGTCTGTACATGCACGGTTTCCGCCGAAAAGTCACGAAAACAACTTTCCGCCGCTCACGAACGAAACCAGATTTGCACTACAGTACGATGCTTTCAGGCAAACAAAGAAACTATTCTTGGCCACCCGTGTGAAGCCCCACCTTCACGATCTCGTGGCCGAAAATGGACGGGCAGAGCGAGGACACCACGAGACCAAATGGGTCGTCGTCGTGCGCTATCTGGATCACGTCGCCGCAATCGAGGACCATCACCATCGCACCAACAACGAAGCGGCGTAACCGTTGGCCGGTCAAACAAGGGGACGGGGGAAGCAACAGCAGTGGGAGGAGATGAGGGAGGAGATGAGGGAGGGAAGGTGGTGTTGCCAGAAAGCGTGGGGAAGGTGATCGGATGGCTCGGCAGGTGCACGACGGTAGTCCATTTTACGAATATATTCCACCAGCGGGATAATTAGTCGACAATCACGGCAGGAGAGCTGGTCAGTTGGACCAGTACGGATGTTAGAAGGTGCTCAGCAGAGACCGCAACGGTTTCAGGATTGTCAAGACAACCACAGGCAACAACATTACCTACAACAACAACAACAACAACAACAACAACAACAACAACAACAACAACAACGACGAACCTGGAGGATGCCCTGAAGCTCTTCCGGGGTAAAATGGGCCGTGCTTTTGCTCCTGGCGCCGCCGCTGCTGTCCTTACTGCGTTCCGTGTTGCTCGATTTGCCGTCTTCGCCTGCCGGCCCATCGTCCTGCCAAGAGCAGAGAGCGGGGAGAAAAACGGAGACGGATGGGTATCAAGTCCTACCTGCAAATTGGTTGCGCCAAAAACCGTCAACATGACGTGATGGCAGCAAGACTCCACCTGCTGATGCCTGGCTAGTTGAAATTCTGGTGCTTGACTAGTTACATTTTGCGTACTGATGCCTGTTTTTGTGTTTTCTCTTTCGCGCAGCATCGAATGAGCGACGATAGAGAAGAAGCGGCTCGCCTCATGGCTGGTATCACGAAATCGATGCTTGTCGGTCGACCCCGTTTCTCCAGATGCATGTACAAGAGGTTTGACAATGCTTCTCACTCAACCAAAGAAACTCGATCATCTCTCGCTGTTCTTAGCTTCAGCCGCTGGGGGGCTGGAGGGGTGGCATTTTCGGGGGAGGGTTGAAAGGCAGCTGTACAAGGAATTATTTCGGACAGCTACCGCAATATGTTGCCCAGTCAACAACCGAGGAGCTCCCAACGTCACATCCGCTCTATCCACAGCACAATTCTGCCCGGTTCACCGAAAAAAACTTGTCGAAAATGTCATGCATCAAATGTCACGCATCAAATGTCACGCATCAAATGTCACGCATCAGACGGCGGGACACACTATCACGACCCCCACCAACGGCAGACACAATCGAAACAAAAGTGTCCAGCATGGCTGAGTCGTGCATACCTGCCTGGCGTTCACCAGCGAGTTGGCCTCGAGATAGATGAGGTACAACCCGCTGGCCTTGGCGCGCTTGTTCACCCTCCCCGAAGCGAACTCCGCGTTGACGGACTTGACCACTCCAGACACCGTCACGACATCGCCTGGTGGCACCGAAAGTATCATGTGAGCAAGGAGGGAATCGAAGGGGTTCGAGACACGTGAGAGGGGGCGGGAGGACCGGGAACGGGAGTTCAAGTACCGAATGATCGCGCGTCCTTCCCCGTGTTAGCCATCAACTCGCCAGCTCTCCTGAGCCATTCACTGTCATTCACGAGCACTCATTGCCCGTCGGTAACCTGAACACTTCTGTAACGCAACCCAAGCCTGATATTGGAGGTCCTGTCAGCAGCGTCGGTTCCTATGGTGGCCTGATTACTCGACCAATTTTCGACAACACCCGCAAGCGATAGTGCTTGCCTTGCCTTGCCTTGCCTGTGTTTTGGTGAAAGAATCGCACATGAGAGCTTTTTGAGAGAGTATCGGCCCTAGGGTCCAACATGAATAATCATGGAATCGACACATGTGCATGTACCAATCCGACAATTTTAGGTGGTGAAGTTCTTTTACCTCTGCCACGACAGCGTCTTTTCTCACATTTTCGTCTGCTGACGCCGCCGGTACCTACCCGTTGTGTGTCGGGCTCGCTAGATTAGACACCGGTGATGCGCGTGATGGTCGCTCAAAAGTCGCTGGCACTGGCTCTATTCCCAAAAAGCCTCCTCGAACGGGATGAAAACTGAAAACAGAACTGTTGTTTTGCCCCGCGCCCCGCGCCGCCAGGCGCCCACACAGCTGCTGCGGTTGTCGTGTACACACCCACTACACAGCCAGCAACTGGTGCAAAGACAAGGATAGTAGTAGTGACAACGCGGCTAGCTGTCGCACGCTACAAGCGCACGCATCCCCTAGCGCCATGCGCACACGCCGTACGCATGTGTTTCTACGAGTGTTTCTTCGGAAGTTCTAAGAGTCAAAAAGGAATAACAATCTTGACAATGGTCTGCACAAGCCACACACGCGATCCGCACACCATGAGCAACGCGGTACAAAACACCAAGGGGGAGGGAAAGAGCAAGAGGAGCGGGTGACAGCAGTACGATCTGCGGCAAAGACGCCGCTACCCTGTGGTATTTGTGCTTGAGACTCACCACTCCTTTGCTACACAGCGGACAACACGGACAACAGTAGGGAACGACGCCGGCTCCATTATATTACCGATCACGAGAGGACTGGTCGCAGAGAATATGCGCAGAAATCTCCCAGCGATGACCGTACAAATGCATAAAATCCCGCCGAAAAGAATGTCGCTCAAGAACACATCTGTCACAGCAGGAGAAGTAGGATCTACGGCAACGACACCGCAGGGGCATGCGAAGAGTCATCGTGCACCGTGAGAAAAAAAAAAAATCCCCGCAAATGGCGGCGAGGTATTCTTCTGAAGTTTTACCAAACCAACCGTGGCACTACCGAAGGTTGAGATTTACAACGATCTAACCATGATGATGGCAGTGGCCATGTCCTCTTGATGGAAAGCACGCTCACCTACCTCCCGAAGGGGAGCCTTGTACCGCGTACTAGAGTATTGGCCCTAGGGTCCAACATGAATGGTCATGGATACAACTACCGTGTACTAGATAATCAACCCTAAGATCCAACATGAGTGGTCATGGATACGGTATTGTAGGCGCCCCCAAATATCATGTGACAGAATCCCTCGACAAGGGATTCGTGGGGTGCCCACTCAATCATGCGCAATAGGGGCAACGAAACGCATATCAAAACAGACGAATCCATGGGTTTCCAACTCTATCATACGTACTAGGGCCGAGAAAACCAAGCTCAATCACAAGGGTATACTGTATCACAAGAGTATCAGCTCAACCGTAGCACCATGCAGCTGGGGTGAGATCAACCGCATGCTGTTCGGGAATGTTAACTCGCACGTCCGCCTGGGTATGAACGCCTATAAATTACTTCACGGAGTCTCCACTACCACCGGCGCCGCATCAAATCTCCGACCCAAACGGCCCGAGAAAAGGCTGGCACAAGCACCGCTCACGTGAACTGGTCGTTGCACAACATGTCAACATCAAACGAGTCGTTGCCTCTAGCACACAAGCACCGTTCGAGGTGAACGGACGTTCAAATGTAAACATCAATGTTCTGTCGATAATTAGCACAACCATCGTTCCAAGTTGATGGACGTTGCGTGGCATGTCAAGATCACAGCTTGTCGATAATTTGCACAACAATCGTTCGAAGTGAACGGACGTTGCGCAACACGTCAACATCAAAGGTCTGTCGCTATCTAGCACAACTATCGCTCCAAGTGAATAGACGTTGCGTAGCATGTCAAGATCACAGCTTGTCGATATTTCGCACAACTAGCATTCCAGGTGAATGACGTCACGCATCATGTCAACACACAGCCTTGTCGCTATTTAGCATAAGTACCGTTGCAGGTGAACGGACATTGCGTAACATGTCACCATCAAAGCTACGCCACTAGCACAACTACCCTTCCACCTGCACGGACGTTGCGCAACATGTCAACATCAAAGCTATGTCCGCACAACTAGCGTTCCAGGCGAATGGACGTGGACTTGCGCACCATGTCAACATCAAAGCTATGTCCGCACAACCAGCGTTCCAGGTGACTGGATGTTTCCCCAGTAGCAAGGCTTTGTTGATATTTTTTACACCACCACCGTTCCAGGTGAACAGAAGGTTGCCAAACATGTCAAATCAAGCTTTGTCGCTAGCTCAAACACCCTTCCCTCGTGAACGACTTTGAGCAACATGTGACAATCGCAAACCTGGTATGCAGGTGTCCACGAGGTCTTCGTGTAGCTCCACCTCCACCGTGCGGGGGATCCTCCCCGCCTCCGAGGTATCGTCCTCGATCTCCTGCAGTTTGATCTTCTGGAAGTCGACCGTCGTCGCCGTGTTCCGCAAGAGTTCAAAGCTCTTTGGGCAGAGGGGAAGAGTTCGTACAAGAAAGACAAACACAAAGACAGTCGCGGGGGAGTGAAGGGTTCGTACCGGCAAGATCAACACGAAAGACAGTCGCGGGGAAGGGAATGGTTGGTGCCCAGCAAGATCAATAGAAAACGGTCGGGGGGAAGGGAAGGGTTCGTGCCACCAATATCAACACAAAGACAATAGCACAAGGCCGATGGAATTGTGAGTGGGTGGCCACTACAGGGCGCGTCAAATCTCCTGGCACAGATAGAATACTGTTCAATTTTTGTCAAATAATTTGCGAAAGGCCGGTACCAGTTATCAGGTGAGTGAATCGGTGCGGCATGTAGCAGCCCTGTAGAGGAGCCACGAAAACCAAAACGAGAGCAATGTGAACCTCCGGCGAGGGCGACCTCGGGCGTCATCGGACGAGAGGCAAAAAAAATAGAGCAGCATCAAACGCCGAACACGTCGCGGGCCTCTCGCGCATTACTGCGTGGGAAGAACGACGTGGATGTGGAAGGGTACGGTGCCAAGAACCCCCGTCGCACCTCTTGCGGTGCGCCAGAATATTGTGGCAAATCACAAGCTAGCCTGGGAAAGCGCCGCCAAAGTATTTTTTCGAAAAACACAGGCTCAAAACTTAACAGGGAAACAAGAATATAAGAGGAAAAGCTCGGCATCAGATCAGGCAGAAACGTGTACCAGATACTCCGGAGAAAACCGTAGGTGACACGAGATATGACAGACACCAATTCAAAGCTCGATTACTCCACTACGAAGAGGATGCATAGACGAAACGATACCGTTTTGGAAAGCTCTCAACCGGATGGATTCAACGCCGCCGTCATCGGCGTTGCCACTTTTCTGCTGTGCAGAAATCGAGCTTGGAAAATCGGTCTTGGGTGTGTGGTATCTTACGTCACCTACGGTATTCTCGATGGTCGCGACGAAATAAGAAGAAGTTGAGCCTCGACAACAGCCTAAATTTGACGTTTCACGGCGGCGGTTCGGTTCTATAACATGCTTGGATCGCACCCTAGCTTTGCAGTTGGCGCCCGCGCAGGAGGTGGGAGGGTTGAACTTGCCGTCGACAAACTGTCTGGTCTGCTCGCAGCCGCACTTCGGGCACGCGAAGCTGGCCTTGAGGACCATGGCCGAGATGCCGGACACTCGCACCACGTTGCCCACCACGGTAACGAACTTCCCTGTCGACGTGTCGTCCGCGAAATGGATTGTCAACACTCACATGATTAGATGGAACACGCGGTAAGTACCCGCCCAGCGAACTCTGCCTTTTGGTTTACAGTTTCGGGCACGATAGCTTTCCCTCGCTCTACATAGAAGTGTTCGAATTGCTGGTCGTAGCCGCTTGTCGTTATGCGCAACGCTTTAGATCCAATCTGATCTCCACATCCGGACTAAGTCTCCATACAGCAGTGGCCCCTGTACAAGGCTGCATAGGGTCAAGGGATGTCGCCAGCCATGACATACGGGGCACCCGGCCCTGTACAGAGTATGGAAAACAACATTCCACCATCTCTGTCACGCGGTTCACAGGCCTTCTGTAACGTGGTCATATAGAGGGACCATTGCAGTAGCTCTTCAAGCTGATCCGACAGGTAACCCGAGGGGTAGCATTACGATTCAGCGTACGACGTGCGTACTGAGCGCTGACTCATCAAGCTTGGCCCGAACCTGGCCGGCGCTACCCTTCTTCCGTACATGAGCACCATTGGACGTCACCTACGGCATTGGACTTGAGCTCCGAGATTCCCCACACCGGGAGGGCTCCATCAAAGCGTGCCGTTACCTGATAAAAAACAAACATGGGAAAACAGAAGGTCAGAAACCTCCATACGGTATGCGATACGGCGATCAATCCGGCATGGATAGTCGGCCAGGCTCAGGAGAAACAAAAAAAAGGAACTGTTGCTGTGAGCGAAGGGGTGGCGCGACCAAAGTCAAAATAGCCGTTAATTGTGTCTGTCAGCGTCATGGCCAAACGTATCAAGAAGAGTCTCGTGTCTCGACGAATGGTTCGTTCACCTTGCCCCGCCGCCGCACGGCTGCCACCGACCCCTCGGGGCAGAGGTGGTGTCTCGCCAGGCAGAGGCCAAGCCCCACGCACGCTATCACCTTCGTCGGTCTCTCCTGATATCCGGGGAGGGGGGGGGG